CACTAACCCATACACACATGATCACATGCACACCCACATACACAAGCTCTTGGCTTTGCACACACACCCACACACACACATACATGCATACAGACGTGGCTTTTGAAGGCTTTGACGTGGGCGATGCCTCTGTGTCAAACTCTTTCCTGTGGAGAGACTTTCCACTTGATTTTTTTCCATGAGTGCTCTGAGCGTGAGCTTTTTTGTCAAAATGACGGTTAGATTTTTTTTATGCATGCGATCAATCTCTTGTTTCATACGAAGGCTTCCGCCTCATCCCTGCCCCCCCCCCTTACTCTTCACTCCATCCACTTCCACTGGGCCGCCCCATTAATAATTCAGCACATAATCCAGTCTTGGTCACACTCATTGCTAGCAGCTCCTTGGCCTGTCCATCACTGGCTTAATTAGCACAGATCTGCTGCTTCTCTGGCAGCTGCTGGAAAACACTCCACTTATCCTAATCCAATCCCTCGAAGTCCACTTTCCCTCTTGGCAATGACAGTTTTGAAGTGTTTTTCTTTGTTTTGTTTTTTGTTTTTTTTTATCGTCAGGTGGTTTTCTTTCAACTTGCAGACATCTCAGTCTGCAAACACCAAACTTGTTTCTTTGTTGATTCAGCCAATTGCACAGGAAGAGGTTTAGACAAACACAATATTGTGTGTGCAGGTGTACCTTGTCAGCCTGAATGCAATAAGTATCAGCTATCCTGTCAAACATTCATTGTATTGTTGTTCTTTGTCTTTCTTTCTTGTGCAGTAATGTGGTATTTACATTTAAAGGTCCCACACTTTTCTTTTCTTTAGCATAAAGACTTGAAGTCTGGCTCTTACGAAAGCACCAAGATTACAACTACCAACACCTGTGAAGTTAGTGAGCACATTTTGGTTACTGCATTTAGTGTAAATACCAAAATGCAGAAGTATTCAGCTTTTAAACAAGCATCAGTCCATTCTGTCTCGTTAGCTTTTTCACTGTAAATATTTAAAGGTCACATATTTTACACTTTTCCAAAGTTTTATTTGAAGTGTTAGAACCAAAAAAGGCCTGGGGCACGGCTGAGAGCGGTGACTGCTTCGTTGTGACATCACAAAGTTACAGAAGTCCTGACGGCTGGTTTTAAGGCTCAGTTTCTGAATACAGGCTGTGTGCATTTCTCTGTGGACTGAGGCTTTAACACTTTCACAGTATTAATATAGAACCTAGACCTGCTTTATAATCAAACAACACATGGACATCTACCTTTACACAATATGGAGCCTTTAAAATGTGTCAAATGAAAACCAGAACAGGTCTGAGTCATGGTGAGTCACACCGAAATGTTGGGCAGACTCTTCAAAACTGAACTTCAAATGCACAAATATCAAAGATATTAGTTTGATGAGATTAAACTAAGGCTTAAATGAGTTGTCGTATCATCAGATGACCAAGACAGAGCTGAGACAGAGCAGCTCTGCCTCAGACATTTGAAACATCGAGCCCGGGCTATAGATAACCCCAGTGTTTCTGTCACATGTGCAGCGTGTTACCATATAAGACAGCAATATGACTCACCCCGCTCACTGACCTACTATGTGGGAAGTCATGATTCATGCAAGCTGCATTTAAGCAGGCAGGGCCCAAAAATACTCTGGTATGCCATCACACATACAAAACTATCATACACACACACACACACACACACACACTCACTCACACTGACACATACCTCACTTGCTCAGTCATACTCACCACCCACAGACACTGATAGGCTAGATGCTGTTGGTAACATACAGTGAGAGACATTAGAAAGTTGTCAGAGCAAACACTGGAATAACACGATGACTGGATCTGTGCTGATGCCTTTCTGAGGTAATGCCAATGTATGCTAACAGCTGACGCTTGTTTGTCGACTTCATTTTTTTCTGCTTCGGTTGAATAGAAAGCAATAGATGATTTTTTAAAAAGTAAAAGTAAAGTCTAGTTCTGTGCAACAAGTAGCTGCAGTGAAACTGACTGCATTGCAGTGATTCAAATAGTTTTGCGATTTGGTTGCTAAGTGCTTTTTTTTGTTGTTTGTCTTGATTTTGTTCTTCCAAGAGTGATTAGTCAGCAAGATACATCTATAAATAGTGTTGTTGAGTATTGGTACGTTCGAGACAACTGCAAGGCATCACAATAACAAGAGGTTTTGAGGATTATGTTGTGGAAACCTGTCCTCAAATACCTATCTGAGAGCGTTAAATGTCTGTTGCAGTAATTTTGCACTTACTGTTGATCACAAGGATTAAAGCAGCCAAAGATTTTTTTTTTATTTCACCCCCGTGTCTTGATTTTTTCCTGATGTCAAAGCCATAAGCCTCAGTGCATTTTTAATACAGATGTTGGCTGCTCTGGTAATGAGTTTCTTAGTGTGTAATCCAGCTGTCTTTGATGGTTTCCACGCAGCGTGTGTTTCTTTTAAAAGGTAAATCTCGGCGGTGGTTTTGAGTATCGATTCACGCGGTTGAGGTCACAGCCTGGACCTTTCCCCTCGCTGGTGGATGAAGTAGCTCTGGTGTTAATTAGGCCTACTGCAGATATAGGCGCAGGTTTGTGCAGCAGCCCAAGTGCATTGCGGTGCTGTGCAGATGAGAGCTCAGCCGGTCCCATTCATCAGTGTCAGCAGTGGGAGCACCCACCGTGAACTGGTCTGCAGCTTGGTTGCACCCGGGGGGACTCAACCTATGCGAGGTTACTCCAGTCACCTGACCATGCTAGACCTGAGTGTTGCTAAGGACATCACATCACTGGCGTACGGAGTAGGCACGTCTGCAGGTCAGGGACTTTTATTAGATCCAGGACAACAGCTGTAGAGTGCAGTTGAATGTTGAGTATGAATACCTTGCTGTGTTGTATCTGAACGGTCCACCGATTGAAGCACATGGAGACAGTATTGATTTCTATCTGGAGCAAAAAGCACTTGATCCTTTGTAGATGGACTTGAACATAATGAGTCCAGCTGTAGCCTGAGATGACACCGTGTAACCCATGTTATGTTTTACATTGAACTTTACATTTTGCACCCAGCATAAGTGATGGACCTGTTGTTTCTTTTTAATGCAGCAGATGTTTTATGATACATTCTGAGAGGACCTTTGCATTGGAATTAATTGCACATTCAAATATTATTCAGGGATCTTTTTCAGCGTGATCAAACAAACTCATTATGCCTCTACATTTCTCCGTATGTAATCAGTGAAGCTTGGCAGGCGTCAGTCTGAGAAAGAAGTATGTCTCAGATGTGGCTGTGTTGCATATATTATCTCAGGATCAATATCAGCAACCCAGTGACCTTCTGAAAAGCCGTTTAGCTCATCTGCAAGTGTGGAGAATGAGGAGCCTCTGCCATGGATGTTAGCGAACCCTCTGTGGTCAGAGTGGAAAGCCCCAAAAAACACTGCACGGCTTTTAATCGTGTCTTACAATCTGAAGCGGAGGAATTTTTCTTCAGGGATGTATGCACTGATGATGTTCTGTATTTAAATGAACACTCACATTCTTCAAGGTGTGAAGAAACAAGTTGAAAAGGGATCTCACTTAGTTCTCTTTTTTAGTGTGTGTTTCAGGACAGATTTTGAATTCATGACTCAGTTGCTTCCTATGTTACAGTTTCTTTGTTGCAATACAGAGAGACATCAGCCTTCCTTCCTCTTACCGAGAGCGGTATCCCCTTTAGAAATCATTTCATATGTGATTTAACAATGTCGGCTGAATCCTGGCAGAGTATATTTGCTCAATTAATATTGGTGTTTAGGTGTATTATCACACTGCATGAGCAGGATGTTTTGTCTGTGACACCAAATGTTGCAGATGAAAACCACACTGAGTAATTACAAAAAGTTTTTTTTTTTTTCAGGAACAGGAAAAACAGTCTTGTTTTTAGTCTTGATGACAGTGCACTTCTAATGGGTTTTGCAAGACAAGTCAAAAGCCACAGAGGTCAGAGAGTGTTGTGTCAGCCCACAGACAACCACTCAATCCTCCTGAAGTTACAACATAGCAGAAATAATCATTATTATGTCAAGTCAAAATCTTGGATCAGAATTGCAGTCACACAAATTTTGCTTATCAACAATAATACTTCTTTAACATTGAGATCAGAGTCTTGTGTGTGTGAAGTGAAAGATTAAAAGGAACAGAGAGGGGGTGTAATTGCATAATAGCCAGGGAGACATTTGAAGCAAGTCAGGGGCTTGAGGTCTGAGTCCACCCTCATTAACATTTTCTATTACAGCCCAGATAGAGAAATCCCTGTTTAATCAATCCTTCTGCCTGATATCCCCATTCACTTCTCGTAATGAACCATCAACACATTTCTGATGATCTCTGCAGTTCGTCTTGCAGAGAAGCACCATCCTGTGTATGATTAACACGACCCTTTGATACATCTTAAAGGAGACCTCGTGTGGTACATTAAATGTTTGATGCACAGCGCTGTATGCTTAGATACGCACACGTTTCAAGATAATGATACCATCTTAAATATGTTTTTTCAACCCTGTAAACTGAAAATCTAATAAATTTCAAATGGAGTGTGTACAAATAATGAATCTATTTTACAGCAAGTCAGGACAGCTCCATGAAATGATCACTGCTTTACAGAAGCTATTTTAAAACGTTGCTAACAGCCAACAGACCCAGCATTAGCATTAACAGCTCTTTACTTACCAGTCTTGGCAAGAGCTTCATCGATGTGTTTACAATACAAGAGGTTATAGTGCGTCCTCTGAGCAGCGCTACTTCCTGAGAGAAGACTGGACGCCACAGTGACTCGATATCGGAAAGTGGTGAGACAGTCCAGCCAGACTGGAGCTAGCTTGTTATCATGCTAACGTCAGTAGAAGAAAAGAAGTGATAGAGACAAGACTTAATATTGGTGTTGCTTTCCACCTCTGGAGACAGCTCTTGGTGAGTAAATGAATGAAGTTTGAAGCCGAACTCGCAATATTTTTTCTAGACTGGTACGTAAACAGCTGTTAATGCTAACATTAGCTATGTAGCGATAGCAAAAAACAAAAAAGAACCATTTCTTAATAAAGTAAATTTGCCCCAAGCTTTAGTGAAACAAGATGGGCCAAATCAAACCCCAAACCTGTATTTTATTGGGATCCACTGGGTTCAGGTTGGTAAGCAGAACACTACTCCATCCTGACTCTTTTCTGCCGCTTAGATTGTGATTTATCCTTTTCTTTTTTCACAGTCTTTTGTCAGCTAACCAAGTGCAATACTAAATTGCTGCCTTTAAAGTCAAAGGCGCTCATTCCCATGGGCTCATGAATGTGCTCAGTAAATGTCATGGCAACCTGCCTAACATTGCCACAAACACTAATCTGAGGTTTTGAGGAAGCAGATAGTTTGACTTGAGGAAATGAAACCTCCCCAGAAAACAGTGTATTAAAGGCAGTTACAATACGTGTATGTATGCACATTACAGGCTTCTCTTGCATTTATTCTGCTTCCAAAAACTGACACAAAGCAGCAGTATGTGATTTTAATTGAAATTTTACATGGTAATAAACACACATTAGTCCTTACATTTACCTAGCCATCATCATCATCACCATCCACGTTGACATTTGCTACCTTGTACATCTCCAAGGGCATTCGTTACTGTGGCTTAATTTGATAATTCCAATTAAAACCATGTTCCTACTCAGTGTAATTACAGTCATCTGGCAGAAGTCCTCCCCCCTAATTTTGCACAGTGACACAGTGTTCATGTAAGTCTCCCTCCGACTGTACTGGCTCAGTGGATAATGTTATTAGACCGTAGCAGCAGCGGCTGAGGCTAACCTTGTTTGTTACAAGGAGCCACAGGGTGCATTTGTATTTTGTTACAATCATGCTGTGTAGATGTTCCAACAGGGCAAAAATTATCCCTCAACTCAAGAGATGTTGAAATTATTGTCCCGCAATAAGTTGGGTTTTACACCTCCTGCGATTCTCTTAATTACAACAACTCGTCATCTGCAGCAGGTGCTCATGAATGTGCCTTGATTTGCTGCATGCTGATTCATTGTACTCCTGTTTGAGGCAATAATCTATCTGGAAATGATGGAAAACATCATCAAATATCTTAAAGGTCCCATATTGTATAAAGGTAGATGTACATGTGTTTGATTATAGATCAGGTCTAGGTTCTATATTAATACTGTGAAGGTATCAAAGCCTCAGTCCACAGAGAAATGCACACAGCCTGTATTCAGAAACTGAGCCTTAAAACCAGCTGTCAGGACTTCTGTAACTTTGTGATGTCACAACAAAGCAGTCACTGTCCTCAGCCGTGCCCCTTGAAGGAACTTAAAACCACAAATATATCTTCTTATGGATCAATACTTATAAAACACCAGAAAAGTATAAAGTATGGGACCTTTAATATATCAATAAGTGATGGAAAAATATATAATTTAAGAAGAAATATCCATGATGACATACCAGCAAAGATTCTCAAAATGCAATCTGATCATTTACACAACATTTCTTAGACTTTAGTGTAAGAAACTCAGCAACCTCCACTCTGTTAAGGGATAATTCATTTTAACCTCTGAGGAGTCTAGACTTTCAATTGGCAATAAAAACATTGCACTTGATTAATTGCTGAGATCTGCAGCATTGCTACAAGAAATGCTGAAAGAAACTTGAACAGTCAGACAATCACACCAAACTTACTTGGGGCAAACAGTAAACTTATTAACTTACCCAAACTGCTGCATAGATCCATCACCATCTATTGCACACAGAAAACTGTGTTCAATAAGGGATTGCAACTTACATTTTAAGTGTTCCTCTGACTGCTTGTGATTGTGTCAGGGCTCGTTTTAATGTCATTGCATTCCTGTATCTCAGCAATGACTTTGATGACTTCAATGTCTGATACAATGACTGAGAGGAGTGATGGCCAAAATGAAAAAATAAGCGCCAAGACAGAACAATCTCCACCCTGACCCGAACTGTGATGATCAATAGTGGGATTTGAACATCTACCATGCCGTGACAACTGAGCAAGATTGAAAGGCCCATAATGAGCGAGTGAGTGGAGCTTGAGAGAGAATTTGGGTTTTATTATTGTAGGTTCGTTGTTTTTGAGTGTCCTATTTTTGAGTAAGTGGACTCAGACTGGAGATTGTTTTGTACCCAAAGTCAGGAATGAACTATCAAACTCAAATAACTATAATCTCCCTTGAATTTTCCTCTGTACGTGTCCATCACTGTCTTGCTTTGATATTCATGGCTGTTCTTGAACACCTCCTCAGTCTGCCTGGAAAGTGTTCACAGAGAGTCTGTCCTGAAACTGTCAGACCGGTGACTCAGTAGAACAATGTGACTCAACACAGAGTCCAGCAGTTGATGTCTGACAGTAGTTTTAATGCAGTCAAATTTTGAATGTGACTCTGTTTTGACGTATGCTGAACTGGTAAGTCCCACATGAAAATACTAAGTACTTGCGGAGGTGCTCAGTACCTGTTTGTTTGAAGCGCACAGAAAACAGGAAGCCTCTGAGCCGTAGTGACACTGTTGGCTTTGCCTCACGGAGAAATAAAATATAAAGAATTTGCAATTGCTTTTTTTTTTTTTTTTACCACCTTTACAATGTGTTGCATATAGAAACCCCAGAGTAAAGCGTTGAAGCGCCTCTTGAATGACGTATGATGTTTTGTTATGATAGACGCAATCATGACTCGGCCACCAGGGACTCAGTTCAGACCCTAAAGACCATCCACCCTCTCCTCTCTATATATTTAAATGTGTCACGGCTCAGTCCCGCCTCTTCCTTCCACACATCCTGCACATCATGAGGCCCAGCGAGGGGGGGCACACAAGCCACAGAGCACATTATGACACACTGTCACACGTTACCACCCCTCCTTCTTAAATCCTTCAAACCATGACCCCATTATATGATCCAGTCAGGCCAACGCTGAGTCAAACATCCTGCTGCCTGTCCTCTTCGGCTCTGATTGGTTAAATCAGTTTGGGGGTTTTCTCCAGTCTTTATTTTGCTCTAATAATGTACTGATGCAAAATAAAGGCTGACTAATTGACTAAGGCCAAAAGATTTATCTGACTTAACCCCCTAGGGAATCTCAGCTGTGTTTCCATGGTGATAATCGGTGACACCCGTGGCCTGCTGATACCCAAGAAAAAAAAGAGAGCAATTTGGAATAAGGGAATAATGTGACACTGATTTTGAGTTCTGCTGCTGCTGAACGCTCTGAATTCATCATGAGGAAATCATCTTTGTGAACTGTTAAATTCTTCCAGCCCGCACCACTTCTCCTCGCTGCTTGAAGTGGATGCTTGCAGTGCTGAAACGACCAATCGGTTAATTAATTTGTCAACATCTATGATTGGATGAATGAATCTAATAAAAATGACTATCCTGCCCAGATTTTTAACATTATTTTCAAGAACTCCCACTGACACTACCAAACACCTTTTAGGATAAATTCAACAAATTATTTGGTTGATTAATCCAGAATGATAGGAATTATATCTGCTCAATCTCCCAATCTTAGATTTTTTTTTTTTTTTCGGATAAATTACAAAACAAGGAGTGACATGGAAAACATAAAACATAATAGTATTATAATAATAGCACAAAAACAGACAATCAAACTACTTCAGTATAAGTTTTTAATGAGAGTGTACATACCTCCTCATATGTCCTCATACTCCTTATATGTCTGCTAATATTCCAGATGTTTGGACTGAATGTTTGGATGAGAGAGATTCTCTGTTTCACTGTCTGTGGGAAGGTCCACAGATCCAGATCCTCTGGAAGGATGTTATAAAATGTTAGTCAGAGATGTTTAATATCAAAGTCCCTTTAAATGTCAAACTCTCCGTGTGCATGGAACATATCCGACGCTAGCCCCTGATAGACGATGATAGACAGATGGTTCATCCAATCACCTGCCAAGTATTTTTTTTGACGGTGCCTGCCCTTTTCTCCCGACAGTTTCCAACAAAGCCTCCCCAGATGGTTCAGTGTGACAAACCATCTGGTGCGTCAGGTTAGAGCCACACATGAATATAATGAAAGATGGAAACGAAGGTTTTACCTGAGAGGAAATTATGGAAGGAAAATATTGTGTTTTATTTGTATTCTAACTGATATCAGAGCAAGTTGAGCGTGAGTGTGAGTGTGTGTGTGTGTGTGTGTGTGTAATTTTAATTAGTCAGCATGACATTAACTGACAACAATTCAGATAATGGATTAATAGTTATTGTAACAAATATTATCTTAAATGTGAGCACCTTTTCTGATAACGTAACTTATATTTATAATTAATATAACTATAATTCAATTTATAAATTGAATACCTTTAGGTTATGGATCGTTAGTTACAATCCTGCTCAGTTCCTTGTGTTTTTTCAGTTCTTTATTTACCCAGGATGCATTGCAGATTCTTCGTTTTTAAAGGAATAGATTGACATTTTGGGAAATATGCTCATGTTCTTCTTTTGTCATTTGAGAAGATTGATGTTCAGAGCTGGAGTCAGGAGTTGATTAGCTTAGCTTAGCATAAACACTAAGCACATAACTATGCTACGCTAACAAACCGTGTTTCTGTGCAGATTAGACAAATGCATGATTTATTTAGCGAGCTTCAGACATGTCAGTAGGTGTATTTTTGAACTTTGGACAAAGCCAGGCTAGCTGTTTCCCCCTGTTTGCAGTGTTTATGCTAAGCTAAGATAACCACGTCCTGATTCCAGCTCTGTACTTAACACTCTGGCATGAGATTAACATTGATCTTCCCATCTCTGTCCCTGAAAGTAGGAAAATAAATTATTTTAGATAATTATAAATAATGTTAGCATTGAACAGATGGAGGAAACGTAACGTCTGACTGATTACATGCAGGATATAGTCAGTGTTTACCTTCTGAAAAAAATGTTTGACAGTGAGAACATGCCTGAACCAACCAAACACTAAGAAGCGACACAGTGAATTATGCTGTGAAACAGGGAGTCAAACTGCACCATGTGTTAACAAACCATCAGTTCCACCAGTCAGGCAGCAGCAGGTACAGTCAGTACTGGTCCTGCATTCACACATGAAGGCTGTGGCGAAGTCATGCCATCAACAACTGGAAGTAAGAGAAAATACAGAGAAATAAAAAATAAAATTTTCTGCATCAATCAGCACTTCTAATCAGAATTCTGCCACAACCTGCTATTTTGTGATGTGTGTGTCTGGGTATGTGTCTGTGTCTGCGAGCATGTGTGTGTGTAGGTGTGTGTAAATGAATATGCTTGCAAAGTATTTCTGTGTGTTTGTGTCACCCTTTGCGTTTTTGCTCCCGCTGCAACAAACCCATCTGAAGTCCAAGTGAAGCAAATGCGCACTCCGGGGTAGAAATAGCATGTTTGGATTTCTCTGAACCTCGCAACCGCATCTGGAAACATTATTCTTGGAAGACAGGTCATTATCCTCGGAAGCCAACTGAGAAATGTTTGGTGGAAATAAGCAAACTCTACAACAGTTGGATCCAGCCAGAACCGCAGGAGAAGTCTGGACTGACACAGTTGTTCCACAACACCCCCTCCACCCCCCCAACTCACACACACACACACACACACACACACACACTAGACTGCGTGTTGTAGCAGCAGTCTGCTCCAGTCAAATCATTATTATTATAACTCTGTCATCGGTAAACAACCGAATCTACAAACGGCCTCACATGAAAGGGCCTTTAAAGCAATTCATGGTTCAGCGTGGCCTCAAAAAGCCTCACAATTTTCACTTCCTTCATTGTGGTCTGGGCTTGGTACGTATTCAGTTGTGTCAGACGTCATTGGTAGCAGGTTATGCAGTAGATTTTTTAAAGATTTGCAAGTGCTCTCCTGTGCTGAGACGTGAGCAGGATCCCTTTAAGCAATCAGATTGGACAAAAAGCAGTGACTCACCCGGCCGTGATTAGTCCTTTTCCTTTTTCACACACGCTGATTGTTCTGGAAACGCTCTCACATGAAATAAGTTGATTGATAATGATAATCTGTTCCTTGAGATCAAAAATAGGTCATGCAGTCGCTGAATCATTTGCATGTTTCACTGGTATCTTGTTTGTAGACGGTCGTAACATAAAATTTAAAAGGTGGAAAGCTACATCATTAACTAAAACACTTTCACACCATGAAGTGTTTTGGTCTGGCTTTAAGCTCAATTGATTGTCAGTGGATGTTTTCCAGATGTTTTCCTCACAGCAAGAACTTTAGGATTTATAGCTGTTTCATGAGGTTTATATGTCTCAGCCCCAAAGTTCCTGCTCAACTCTAGTAGATTGAATTTGTGAAATCTGTAAGAGATCACCAGTTAGATAATGAATTAACTCTAAAAGCTATTTTTGCACAGTTAAATTAAGCAATTATTGAATTTGTCCAATCTATAGTTTGTGAGTCGCTACGTTTCAGAAATACTTTTTTTTTTCCAATATTGTCACAGCATTTAGCCCCAATAATCTGTTCTCGTGCAGAATTAAGAATCAAGATATTAAAAGAGAGGCGGTACGTCTGTGATGTCACTACATTAAGGAAGGAAGGAATTACATATCCTTCCAGCGAGGTTCAGCTTAGTACTTGAAACTGTTCTTCTGGCCCTTTTTGTAGCCGTTGTAAATTGATCCTCAGGCTCTCTGTCGGTGTTGTTTGCTGCCATATGTGCCAAGAATCTTGGGATAAGTTAGGCCACGAAGGATCCACCTGTTGGAGCCTTTGTTGCCTGGGAAAAATTGCCCCGCTGTGATGCAATCAGTCTTCAAATGCAGCCTCTGAAGGATGCAGCTCCCTGCCTTATATGTACTTCACGTTTTTTTTTTGTTTGTTTTTTTTTAGTGAAGGCGCCCGGAAATCGTCTTTCCCAAGCGCTTTCTACCATTTTTCAGAGTCTTGCATCTCTCGCAGGGGAACCACGTGACCAGTGTCTGACTCACCTTCTGTAAAACTCTTATAATTGAAATTGAAAAAGCAGCAGTGACGGTGCCAAACATCCGATGCCAGTTTCTGACAGGCCGGGCCGGTGTGCAGAGCATGAGCATGATTTTTAGTTGTGACACATGGAAACAAACAGCGCGCCTCAACCAGTGATTTCATTCAGCACTCCTATATAATTTTGTGGGAATTGTCAACTGGATTGATTGCCTTCTGAAGGAAAAACATTTCGCCCGTGAAAAACCGCAGCCGGTGATCAGAGTCTCAGCTGATCAACTGCAGCGTTGAGAGATCCTGCGCTGAGATCACACCCCGACCCCCTTTTCCGTTTACACAGTGAGGGGCCCCTCGTTTTCACAAGTTCTACTCTCAGCTTTCACACTTGGTCTGGTAACACACGCTCGCACAGGTCACTGAGACCTCACAAACCACATTTCTGAATCAAGAATTAATGCCCAAATTGTGACACAATTAAACACAAATGTCTAACAGGATAAAAAGAGGAGGTGATGACATTTATAAAGGTCAAAGGTCAACTTCACTGTTCTGCAAAAACACTTTTCTGTCCATTATTCCGCACTGTAACTCAGGAGCAGAAGGAGAAGTTGTGAACATATTAACTGAAACTTCACTGGTCGGTAGAGACACACAACCTCCTTTCAACTGCTTAATTTGGTTATTAATTACCCTAGAAAGTTAATGTGTAATGTAGCTTCCCCATATTTACATAAAATTTCTATTCCATGATTGGTTTATGTAAGGAGTCCCTATGACCCAGCACAAGTTATATGACGTGAAAACAGTTCAAATTAGAAATATAATAAGAATAATTTCAAGGGGAATAATTTAATAATTTAATAATTCATTATTTTTTTCTCTATAATTTCATCCATAAGTAACACAATGGCAGAATGCGACTATCTTGGTCATGAGTTTCCAACAGTTTCTGTAATAAAACAGCAAATGTAACAAACGTCTACAGCTTCAATCAGCGTTACGTTGTGTTAGAAAACGACAGATAGTAGTAGAATTAATTTAGAGCGTGCGGCCATAAGTCCGCATACGGCAGAGAGGCATCTTGGTATTGAATATCATCTAATATAAAGGCCTTTTTGAGCAAGTTGTGTGTGTGTTAGTGTGTGAGTCTGATGAGCCTGCGTCTATCGTCACAGGGTGAACGAGATGGAACATTTGGCAGGAGGACCGGGGCCACGTGCTGCTATGTTCCCAGAGCTGAGCTTTTTGGGGTCTGTGGTTTGTGTTTTTGATGGAAGTGTGGAGTTACGCTGACTCACTGCGACTCCAGCCAGGCAACAAAGCCGGAGCCACGTCATGACACATTTTTATCTGATGTTATTTATTTTCATGTGCCTGAGAATTTAAACACAGAGGGAATAGGTGCTTTTTTTTCCCTGAAGCTGAGACATAAATCTCTGTGAGTCTGAGAAGACTGATGCCAGTCTAATGTCTCATCTGGGTGTTTGAATACAGAGCTTGAATCAGTTAGTCTAGCTTAGCATAAAGATTTGAATCCTGGCTCTGATGGACGGTTGCTGCATTTAGTGTATTTACCAAAATGTTGAAATATTCCTTTAAAGGTCCCATATTTTAAACTCCTCTCCATAAGAAGATATATTTGTGGTTTTAAGAACCAAAAAACATCTCAGTGTAGTTTTACATCTCCTCTCAGACTCTAGTAACAACAGGTCAATCAGAAGACAGGAGGCTCTGAGCCTCTCTTCTGATTGGCTGACTGTTTTCTGAGTGATTAAATCAAAATATAGCAGATTTCAGGTAAAACACTCAGAGAAACAAAATCCTGCAAGGCTTGGATGGTGGGTCCAAGTGGGCGGGGCTTGGTGCATGGCTGAGAGCGGTGACTGCTTTGCTTTGACATCACAAAGTTCCAGAAGTGCTGACGGCTGGTTTTAAGGCTCAGTTTCTGAATACAGGCTGTGTGCATTTCTCTGTGGACTGAGGCTTTGATACTTTCACAGTATTAATATAGAACCTAGACCTGCTTTATAATCAAACAACACATGGACATCTACCTTTATACAATGTAGATTCGTTTCAGCGAAAATGGAAACATAAAAACATAAAACAGTTTTTCTTTTAAAGCTGCTGATATTCAGTCCTTCATGTCCACATTATTCTGCATTTCTTAAACTGTTTCTATTTTTTCGTGCCTCAGTGCTGTCGTTTGGTTTCTGATACCGTGAAGATGCTTACTTACACTCTCACCCTCCCTCAGCTGATGTTGTGTTGCTGAGCGTGTCCAAGTGCTCAGCATACCTTTACAGTGAGTCCGTCTTCGATTACAAACACATGTGGACCTCTAGAGCGAAAAGAAAAGCACACCATTACTATGGACTCACTGATTTACCTTTAAATTAAATGTAATTGGCACTTTAAATAAAAGGTCTGTGTGTTTCCATTTGCTGACGGTATTATCTCGGTTTATTTGTGTGTAACCTGAAAAGTAGGGGACTACTTTCTGTGCTATTCGTGATATTTCGTGTGTTTCCACAGCGAGCGGGGTCACGCACCCAGGCACCAGCATTTTGGTGTTTTTTTTTTTGTTTTTTTTTTAAATGTTAAAAGAGGAGTGAGTCAGTCAGTCAAGCTTGTGTGTGTTAGAACCGTGAGGACGGCCGTGGCAGACCACCGGCGCTGATATCAGCCCTGTGGTATGCGCTCACTGGGCTCAGCTGTAAACTTACCCCCCCCTCTGTTGTGTTTCTATTTTCAGGGCGTGAGCGGAATGTCCGTGGATGAGAAGCCTGAAGCCCCCATGTATGTGTATGAGTCGACGGTTCATTGTACCAATATCCTCCTCTGCCTCAACGACCAGCGGAAGCAGGATATCCTGTGCGATGTGACTGTCCTGGTGGAGGGCAAGGAGTTCCGCGGGCACCGGGCCGTGCTGGCCGCCTGCAGCGAGTACTTCCTCCAGGCGCTGGTGGGCCAGGCGGAGAATGGCTTGGTCGTTAGCCTCCCTGAAGAGGTAGGTCCATCAAACGCAATGTTTCCCTGAAATGACTTTTAGGTCAATGCAACACTGAAAACTTCCCAAAGCAAAACTCACCACTGCACTCTGCACACACAGGGATGACCACTGTCTGTCCACCGTCCACCTCAAGCAAATAAACCTGCTCAGAATGCAACTGATGACCATGAACAAAGCCTCATCTAAATTACCATACAGTGCACTGTGTCCACTATATTTTTATCACATAAAAAAAAAAAAACTACTGTGAGTGTTCGTTGTTTTGGTTGCACAGTCAAGTTGCAGGTGCCAAGACGCATCCGTGCCTAAGCCAAGTATGACAAAACTTATTCATCCAATATGTTATTAAACAAGCAGCATATAACGTTTACATTTATTCCTTCAGCAGAGGCTCTTCTCTAAAGCGATATTAACGGCACCTCCTGACACCGACGCTAACTGAATTCAGGGGCGCGTTCAATCTGTAAACGCTGTAGCACCAGTTTTTAGCAGGGTGAACGACATGTTTCCTCGAAATGTTGCGCAACGGGCTCTGAGGTTTGGTGGGTGTCTGAGTTGTTACACCATCAACAACAGCAGCGTGCATGTAACAACGCGTTCAAAGCACCAACGTTTCCGTCAATCGTTTTGTTACGAAACACACCCAGAAAAAAGATTTGTTGCTGCTGCAGTGATCTGGTCGACTGGTACCTTCACGTCCGCCAAGGAGGTTTTGTTTTTACCTCTATTTGTTGGTCTGTTTGTTCGTTGGCACAAATATGCAAAAAGTTGCCCACTGAACTTAGTGGGGGCATGGGGCATGGACCAGGGAAGAACCCATTAAACTTTGGTACGGATCCAGGTCATTTACTATGAATTTTTCCCATGAAGTCTTGTTTACGTTGTCTGACACTGACCTTGGCTGCGGTCTGTGCTCTCCTGAGCGCATTTTCTCCGTTATGTTTATTTTGATGAAAAAGCCTTTTTAGATATCTGAGGGAGCTTTCACACTCTAGTTTAGTTTTCAAGGTCCAGAGCAAAAAGGAAAACAAAGACTGTTGCCCGTTTAGTTCTGGTCCTGATCAACAAACAGACCAAGTGTAAACACGAGTTCAAGTTCAAGTTTATTGACGTATACATTAAAAGTACAGATGTACATTTCCTCAGCCCTTAGACTATAAAGAAATAAGACATAAATAGCATTGCAGGTGGTAATAATAAATAGATACATAATCAATCATACATAACAACAATGGTTACAGACTATACTTTGCTAGCAAACTGTGCAGTCGATGCATCAGCTGTTTAAACATTCAAACAGAAGAAGCAAGGTGAACATGCTCTTCGTGTTCCGTCTGAACACGAGTTCAATTGTGACTTTCTATTTCTAATGTCACAACACAGCGTAGCTTTGTTTTTTTTCTATTAGCAAAGCCACATTACAGGGTGTTTTGAAGGTTAATTTTGATTTAGAAGCATTCAGATTTTATATAAATATAAAATTAGAAGTAATAATTGGATTTTGATTCATTTTAGACCCTCTTAATTGAATGGAGGAACGAGAGGTTTCATTCTGGCACCAGACAATTTCCAAAAACCCTCATACTAACTCCATCAGCCTCCTTTTTTAATCCATGTCACTCCTCAGCGTTTCTCTTCACTGTTGACTTTTTGATTATTTTTAGTTATTTTTGTTCTATTTACTCTTTACACTGTCTTTTTTCTGTCAAACAGTGGCAGTAAAACAGTGTTTTAATTTGATCTGTCATTCACCAGAGGATAAAGACTCGAGGAAACGTGTGAAAAAGTGCATTATTGAGCCTATAGGGCTGTGATTGCCAATTAGCACCTGTCAGCCGCCGTCGTCGGCAGCAGGTAACACCTCGCAGCAGGATTAACGCCACCTTGGGGTGCGGCGCTCATCACGTTCAGCAACACTCCTCACTCTTGCTCACCTCATCTCTCACACTGTCACTTTAAACTCAGCCCTTTCAGAGCTCCTCCGCCGAACGCATGATGAAAGTACCCCTCTGACGTATTGATGTCGCACACCCACACTTACACGCACACATATGAATACATACATGTGCTGCTGTGAAAACTGGGGCACATCCCACATGTGCCGTGGAGTTGTGGCTCCTTGCTGGGCCAGCATGCATTTAATAAAGTAGCGCCTGTCAAATGACTTTGCCACCGCACTCATTGGAAAAGAAGTCACTGTCAGATTGTTGTCTTATGTAAAATGAGCATCACAGGTTTTTTTTTTTTTTTTTTTTTTTTCCTATTCCTTAACTCAAAGAACGACAGCGGGGAAAAGCTCCTGGATGCTCAAAGCAGCCTCCTTTTTCATTCATTTGCTGCGCGCATTAATAATGTATAAGCCACTGGGTGTTTCAGGTGTGAGATGGAGTGTGGAAAGTAACATCTTTCAATGACTGTCTCTTTAATGTGCAGGAGAGAGAGTTACTACCATTGAAGCTTTAACCAAGCCTCCTTCTCTTTTCCGTCCGTGTTCAGTTTGACAACATTTCACATACGTTTTTCATTATTTTATCGAAATTGCAAAACATATAATTAATATACTCGCTTTATTCTGTTGCAGTGGAAACTTGAGGTAGCTACATCATATTTTGTGCTGAAATTCAAATTTGAAAATAACGGTAATTTTTATTATGGATTCATTTTCAATGCAATTTAATTAATGTAGCTTTAAATACACTGATTTGTTCTGTAGTTTTGTCAACTGAAAATCAAAAAATATTCAATTTACAATTATATAAAACAGAGAACAGAAAGAAAATATCTGGAAATGCATATTTAGTCAAATCATAACATAAACCTTGTACTTGTTTTAATAAGGAATTGCTGTTTGTTTTCTTTTTGCTTATGTCATCTCAGCATCATTGAAAATGAAGATCAACTCTCAATGTATCCCTGAGAAAACAAAAAGAGGTTTATGATGATGTTGATGATGATGATGTTAAGTGCCTTAAAACAAGAGGTCAGCTCATTTAACTATATAAGCTTTATTTATATATCACCTTTCGATTATGTTTTACAAGACAAGATGAGATTGAAGACAATAAAAAATAAAAGATATAAAGAGATATTAGGCTTACAATGATATATAGCAGAAAACAGAGAAAATATATGTTATGTATGTTTTATGAATCTATAGAACCAGTTAATATATGTGTGAAATATTGTGGAGTAATAAAGTAGCAGTAGCAGCACATTACTTCGCCTGTTCGTCTATTTAAGGTGGAATTCTCCTTTAAATAGCTTTCCTCTGCCCTGTTCAGTGGGTAGTACATCTCTCTCTCTGACTGTCTAGACAAGTCACAGTCGCATAATGGAGACATGTGATTTCACTGAACACTTTTTAAGGTCCACTGTTGCCCTTTGCTTTACGGTCAGTGACCGAAGTGCGCTGACACATCCCTGCCTCATGTCTGAACACCGTTGTCTCTCTGATGCCGGGGAGGGGAGGGGAGGGGTTGGGTCTGCTCAACCCCCACTGGTGTGTCAGCTCGGAGCAGAAGCTTTTAGCTCTGCTAGGTTAGTGGCATTTGTCTGTCTGACTGCGATCACGGAGAGTATTCCCTCACCGGCGACTGAAGGCTGCTACCTATGTGTAACAAAGGGCAAATAAGAAATGCCTCTGCTGCCGCTGGGAGGAAGAGGAGGAGGGTGGGGGGTGGGGGGGTGGCTGTTTCAGATGAAATGTGAAACAAAGACCACCTCCCCCCTCCCCACCTTCATCAGTCCTCTCTCTCTCATGGCCTCACTGCCCCTGGAGTAGCCGGGGCTGGCGTGGGTGAGTGACATCATCTATATCTAATGTGATTCTGGGGCTTGCAGAGGGGAGGCCAGTTTAATCATGGGGCTTTGTTGGCCATCACATCATGGGAACAAAACAATTGTGCTTTATCTCAGTGATTCTGTCCTCCCCAGCCAGCCAGGGGGGGGGGGGGGGGGGGGGGGGGGGGGCAAAACGTCCATGTTGGATGATGGAGGTTTCACACACACACACACACACACAGTGTAACTCGTCATCCCATTTCTTGTGAGTGTAAAAGCAAAGGACGACTCATAAGAATGAATGTGATTCAGATATGAACTAGGGAGAGAAATTTCCAAGGGGGCCCTCCGCTGGAGAGGAGCAGCCATCGCCCTGACAAACAGAAATGACCTCCATATTGTGGAAGTGTGTGCAAAGACATTACTCAGTCCTGACTGCCATGGTTCACAGAAGACTGCTGTCAGCTAGTAATTAGCGAGCAGCGTGTAGCCTTTGTACCTTGTGAGGCTTATACTGAGAATCTGATGATACTCAATACTGTCGTGGCGAAATTGCAGCAACCCAATTTGCTGTAGTTATCAGATCAGTGAATAATTTTGTCAACTTGAATGAATCAAATAACCATTCACATGCTCATTAGCCAATTATTGGCTACTGCGCTGTCCACTTGTCTGGATGAAATGATTGATTCCAGACCACTGCAGGGACAGCGGAGGGCTCCCCCGAAGGTGGTAGATCATCAGCTCACTCTCTGCCCTCCGGTTTTTGTTCTGGAAAAAGGGAAGGGAGAGGACAGCACTGTGATTCAGCAGAGTGCTGGTTCACAGACCTCAAACCACCTCCTGTTTGTCAGTTCTTTCCTTAGTCATGAGCCAGGGAGTCCTGCACATTTTTCATCTCCAAAAGAAAACACACACACAAATGTACACCCTGTTTTAAAAAGGCAGCATATTTGCCTATGGTTGTCGCAAAGGATTTACTGCGATTTATTTTAACAAGACTGAGAGTTGAAAGTAGTACTTGTGGCCCCTGAAGACTCAAGTGTTCTTTTCACCTCGTAATTTGAAAATGTTGCAGGGAATACTGAAGAGTTCGCTTTAATGGCAATTTAAAAGAACCCTTAGCTGCAAAAAGAAACAAAAAAACAAGTAGTTTGTCCTGATGGTGGTTAGGGTTGGGGTTAGGGTTAGTTAGGGGTGGGGTTGGGGGTAGGACC